ATGGAGAAGAGAGGAGAATCATGGAAGAGCTTATTGCTGTCTCGGGGGGCAAGGAGACTTTGCTCAAGTCAGTCATACAAGCAAACCCCACCTTCATTATGAGTGTCTTCCTGCCACCATTGTGCCTGACTATGAAGATGGACTCTTTGCTGCGTAATTTCTTCTGGTCTGGGAAGATGCAGAAAAAGGGCCTCCATTGGTGTAAGGGCCAAATCCTTTGCAATCCAAAAGCAGATGGTGGCCTGGGATTTCGCAATTTCCATATCTTCAATTTAGCTCTTATTGCTAAGCAAGGATGGAGGTTGTTGAATGAGCCAGAATCCTTGTGGGCACGTCTTCTTCGAGGATTGTATTTCAACAATGGGGATTTTCGCTCAGCAAGGAAAGGGAGCTCTCCGTCATGGATTTGGGCAAGTCTTTGTGATGCACATCAAGCCCTCGACATCGGCTTAATTCAGGTTATTGGAGATGGAGATGGAACTTGGATTAACAGGGATCCCTGGATTCCAAATATGGATGGCCACTGCCTTTCTACTGTTGTTGACCCTTCTCTTAGAGTCAGTGATTGGATTAATGTTGAGGAACGAGGATGGAACCTTGACTTAATCCAACAACAGTGCTCTCTACAGGATGCTGATGCTATTTCTCGAGTTCCTATTGGCCCTCTCAATACGAATGATAAATGGGCATGGAGGCTTACTCCCAATGGTGCCTTCTCAGTGAGAACATCATATCATGGCCTTCGTGCACATTTGCGAGAGGCCGACCCAGCTTTAGTGGACCTCAATATACCGGCAAGTGATGAGATGTGGAAGTGGCTCTGGGCGATCAATTTACCCCCAAATATCCGCTTTTTCCTTTGGAGATGCATTCGAGGAGCGCTTGCTACCAAAGAGAAGCTGCATAACCGGAGATGCTCCCCAGATAAGAAATGCCAAATCTGCGAAACTCAGGTTGAATCGGCTATCCATTTCCTCTTTGTTTGCCCTCCTCCCAACTTGGCTAATTGGATATGTGGCATGCGAGAAGAACCGGATCTTGCGATCACAAGGAAAAAGATTTTGTCATTGGAATATTTGGAAGGCCTGAAATGGCTTCATCTTTCGAAATGAGACAGCGTCCCCGGTGTCCTCCTCCTTTCAAGCTTTTTCGAGATGCAGCTGAGCCTCAGACGATGGTCACTTCCTCGTCTCTCGTTTCACAGCCCAGGGACGATCATCAACAACCGTGTCCACCGCCAACAACACTCACGAGAAGGATTTATTGTGATGGTTCTTTCGATCCTATTTCAAGAGAGGCGGCTTATGGGGTGGTTATTACTAACCCACATGGACAGTTTGTGGATGGTAAGGCTGGACGGATTGTTTGTTCATCCCCTATAGTTCATCCCTTATCACCTTTACTGTTTGTCATTTGCACGGAGGGGTTTGCGGCGCTTTTGCGTAAGGCCATTTCGGATGGAAAATTGGAAGGCATTAAGGTGGCTCCTCGAGCTCCTAGGATCTCTCATTTATTCTTTGCGGATGATTCTTATCTATTCCTACGGGGATCGCTCCAAGAGTGTGAGAATTTAATAGAGGTCCTGAATGAATATGAGGAACTCAGTGGTCAAAAGGTGAATCTGGCTAAATCAGCAGTGTGCTTTAGTAAAAATATTCGTTTGCCGGACCAAGAGTTTTTGGCTCAGATTCTGGGGGTGGGAGCAGTAGGAGTACACGACAAATATCTGGGCCTCCCTACGCTCTTCTCTCGATCAAAAATGGATACCTTCCGGTACTTGGAAGAGAAACTTCTTGAACGGTTGCAGGGTTGGAAGCAGCGGACGTTGTCGTGGGCAGCTAAAGAAACTCTGATTAAGTCAATAGCTTTAGCCCTACCCTTGCATGTTATGTCTTGTTTTAAGCTTCCCCTGTCTCTTTGTCGGCTCCTTGACAAACATGTGGCTCGCTTCTGGTGGGGGGCTGTAGAGGGCCAACCAAGGATCCGGTGGATATCCTGGCGAAATATGTGTAAGAGTAAGCATGACGGGGGGATGGGGTTCCGGCGGTTTGAACACTTCAATCAAGCTTTGCTGGCAAAAATTGGATGGCAGATACTTACTGATCCCCAGTCCCTTCTAGCTCAGGTCTATAAAGGGAAGTACTTTCCTAATGGGACTTTTCTTACTGCAACTGCGCGTTCGCGCCCCTCCTGGGGATGGCAGAGTGTCCTGTACGGGCGTCAATTACTGGAGGAGGGATTACGCTGGCAGATTGGGGATGGGAGGACGGCGTCTCTACTGGATTCCAATTGGATCCCGGCCATCCATCCGTGGCCTGTCGTTTCTAACCCTTGCGTGTTGCCAGATAGGGGGGACCCGAAGGTGGAAGAGGTCATATGTCCAGGCGAAGGGCGATGGAATGACGTCAAGCTAAGCCAGTGGTCCCCCCCGGAAACGTGCGCAGCAATTAAAGCTATTCCCCTGCCCAGGCAAAGTGTGGCGGATCGCCTCATTTGGCACTACTCTGCTGATGGGGTTTTTTCCGTCAAATCTGCCTATCACCTGGCGGTTAATCTTGAACAGAAACGTGGGCGCTGGCGGTCCGTGGTGAGTTGGATGGATAAGGCCAGTTGGATTCGACTTTGGGAGGCAAACATTCCGCCTAAGCTCAAAGTCTTCCTCTGGCAAATTTTCCAACGCATCCTCCCTACTACAGAGGCCTTGCGGGAAAAGGAGATTCCGGTGCTTTCCCGTTGTCCGGTTTGCTGGGCGGAGTCAGAAACGATGGAACATCTCTTTCTAGACTGTCCGGTGGCGAGGGCTTTGTGGGAGTTTTCGGGATTGGAGTTTCTGGGAGAAGGGTTGCCGAGGCATACTTTCCCACTTTTCCTAAAAAAATTACTCGCTCGGATAAGTGATCCTGCTATGACCATGGCTGTGGTGGCTGTATTATGGAGGATTTGGCGGTCCAGAAATTGGGTTGTTTTTGAAGGAAAACAGTTTGGGGTCCCGGTGCTCCTGCGTCAATTCCATCAGCAAGTCGAGGAGTGGGTCCACTTGCCAGTTGAGTCGGTTTCCCGGTCTGTGCCTCCCCTTCCCCGGCCGTCCGGGTCTGCTCTGGCGGACGCTGTAGTATGTCAGTGGGATGGGGCTACTAGTCATAGAACACATTCAGCTGGTGGATTTGTTCTCTTCAATTCGACTGGGGACGTCCTCTTTGTGCAAGGAATCCAGTTCCCCGGTGTGCAGGACCCTGCTGTGGTGGAATTACTGGCCCTACGTGAGGCGATTTTAAGATGCGTAGGTCATGGGGTCGAGGTTGTGAGGTTTGAAGGCGATGCTAAGGCGGTCATTGATAAATCAACCAAGCAGACGCCAGAGATAGCAGGATGGGTGCTGTGCTGCAGGAAGTTATTCAGTATTTTGTAGCTCATCCGGGGTTTTCGATTAGATTTGTAGGTCGGAGGAACAATAGGGTAGCCCATCTAGTGGCTCGGAAGGCCCTTACATTGTATCCGGCTAGGAGTCGGTTCTTTGATTTTCAGACCTGGCTTAATTCCAGGATGTAACTCTTATCTCTCATCAATCTACTTGATTATCTTTTGTCAAAAAAAAAAAAAAAAAAGACTGAAGCCTATGCTTTGTTGGAAGCATGTAAGTTGGTGATGAGAGAGCAGGTCCCATCAACTATTTTTTCAGATTGTAAAGCTCTAGTGGATGCTCTGAAGAACCACTCAGATTTGTGGCCCTGGAATTGCTACGCCATCCTCTCCTCCATTCAACGAATTATCCAGGTGTCCAATTGGATCAGCATTGCTTTCACTTGCCGACGGAACAACAAAAAAGCAGACTGGATTGCACGAAATGCTAGATTAAACACCCTCCACCAGGACTGGCTTGTTGTTCTTAATATTATCTCTGCTATCCTGTAATTGTACCAACCTCTAAGGGAATGAATGAATGAATGTTTTCTTCAAAAAAGAAAGACTGAGAGAGAGAGACAGCCTACGTGGGCCCACGCAGTTAGGCGTCGCGGTTTTACTTTTACCCGGACCAGGGAAAATTTTCAGGAGTCGGGAACGGTGGTTACTTTCCTACATTCTGTTTCGATCCTTGCTCGTCTCTCTCACCGTCGCTGATCTAAGCATCACAGTCACTTGCTTTCGGGATCGAGGGAAGGTGACTCTCCACCGAGAACGATTTTCGCTGCCTTTTCTTTCCCGCCCTTCCTTCCACCGTCGCCATTCGTTTATTCGTTTCTCTCCTACTTTCGTCTTCGTTTTGGAGTTCCGACTGATGTTGGCTATGTTTTATTAGTAAGCTGTTGAAGTTTGTATAGTGCAATCCTCTGCAGGTGAAGGCAAGATTCGAAGATGTTGTGGGTGGACAAGTACAGACCCAAAACCCTAGCCAAAGTGATCGTTCATGAAGACATCGCCCAAAACCTCAATAAACTAGTACTCGTTCACTACTCTTGACGGTTCATTGAACTCTTTTTCTTTTGTCCCTTGTTCGTATTGTTATTCTGACTTCTTACCCTCGAATTGCTTTTCAGGTAGCCGAGCAGGATTGCCCTCATTTGCTCTTCTATGGCCCTTCTGGGTTTGGGAAGAAAACTCTAATCATGGGTTTGCTCTCCCCGTGCACTTGTATTTTGGCTTAGTTTTCGTGATGGCGATTGTACTGGCAAGTATAGAAGTGGTCTTTTTGGTACTGCTTTTTTGTTACTTTTACTACTTATAGACGTAGTCTTTTTGTGTAATTGAAGTGGCAAGTATAGAAGTGAGAGAGAGGCATATACAACGTACCGGATTTGGTTTCCTCATGTTGTTTAACAAAATCGTTCATATATATCTGAATTAGTGATCATTAGACTAGGGAGCATGTAGCTAATAATAGCAAAATGGAGTTGCTGGATCTCTGTTTGTGCTGAGGTATGTTTTTTTGTTTTCCATCAGTGGTAGTGCTTAATGAGGTTGACAAGCTTTCAAGAGAGGCTCAACATTCTCTACGAAGAACTATGGAGAAATATAGCACTTCCTGCCGGCTAATTCTCTGCTGTAACAGTTCTTCGAAGGTTACTGAAGCTATTCGTTCCCGTTGTCTGAATGTTCGAATAAATGCTCCTGCACAGGAACAGGTTGGAAATTTTCTTTTTCTTCAATGGTGTTAAACTGAACTGTCTATTCCTTGGCTGCTTTTTGCCTTAGTATTTTGCCTTCTGTGGAATTTATTATAACAGATAGTTAGGGTCTTGGACTTTATTGGGAAGAAAGAAGGGCTGGAAGTTCCACCTGGATTTACTGCTCGTATTGCTGAAAAATCAAATCGAAGTTTAAGGAGAGCCATACTCTCATTCGAGACTTGTCGGGTTCAACAGTTAAGCTCTAGTTCTCTAAACTATGTGTACTTTCATTCATTTAAGTCTGTTCTTTTGTATGTTAATATTTCTACCCCTCTTATGATCTAGGTACCCTTTCAAAAATTATCAAGAAATCTCTCCATTGGAGTGGGAAGAGTATGTTTCCACCTTATCCTCCGACATAATGAAGGAGCAGAGTCCTAAAAGGTATGACAGAGAAAACGAACATTATGTCCATAGCTTTCAAAGTTGTGGCTTCTCTTTCCTCTAGATTCTAATCATACAACCTCTTGAATTTGATAGATTGTTTGAGGTTCGAGGAAAGTTGTATGAGCTACTAGTCAACTGTATTCCTCCTGAGATTTTGTTGAAGGTAGAGAAGTTTCCCCATATAATCTTTCCGTTCTCATTATTCTGAGTCCATCTAATGAATGATGTCCTTTTTGTTCTGAACAGAGACTTCTATATGAGTTACTGAAGAAACTGGATGATGATTTGATGCATGAGGTCTGTCATTGGGCTGCATATTATGTAAGTTCATAGAATGCGATTGGGTCAGAAAGCCATATTTCACCTTGAAGGTAATTTCAGATCATACATTCTAGACTCTACTATACTTATAATACGCGGAAGGGGAAAACAGCTTCCCCATTTCAAATTTGCTGCCTCCGGAGCGTTTCTCGGATGGTTATTTTCGGATACGGGAAATATACATCGGCTCATATTGGGACGGTGAACGGGCCTGGCGATTTTTTTGTGGTGAGTCGGAGCAGCGCTGTCCCCGGTCAGTGTCTTCACCGCCGAAATCAGTAAGCGCGCTCTCTCCGTCCAGCTTCTTCACCGCCGAAATCAGAACCCAAGGAATTGGTGATGCAGTCCCACAACCGTCACTCCCGCAGCGATTGTCCTTCCTTCCTCACAAGAATAGGATCTCGCCATCTTGACTTCTCTCTCCCACATCTCCAGTTGGATCCATTTATTTGGTGTTGTTCTCCCTCTCAACTCGAGAACTTCGCTATATCCATCTTCCTTCCGTTCGATCAATAACCTGCTAGAGCAACAGCCAATCCGTCAGCGCCGGCCTGTATGTTTCTATTCGACTGGTTCTATGGAATTCTGGCATCTCATGGGTTCTTCCATCTTCCTTCCTTCACATGTTGAAAGACGAGGTTTGCTTCTTTCTTCCCTTTGATTTCAGGTTTTTATTTTCTAGGTCCAATCGATTCAAAGGAATCTAGATTTAATATATGGTGGCCTTTTTTGCGGGGGATCTGTTTGCTTATCGCTCGGTGCGTATCGCAGAGACTATCGGAAACCATCAGCTGTTCTTTGATGGTTTGTTCCATCTCTTTCTTCCTCACAATGTTGTGTTTGTTTCCTTTTTAGGCGGAGATAACACCGACGAGGTGCAGAAGTCGGATTCAGCAAAAAACAATTAAGACTAGGTGATTGAGTGTGAATGAAAATCTTAAAGTGCTGATTGTTTTGGGGTTTCATAAGTAGACAGTATGAGGATGAGGTTGATGGAAGACGAGTTCGTTGAATCCAGTCTGAGGTTGATATGCTGTGATCCAAATCTCTGGTGGGCATGCACAGAAAATTGCCCATTAAGAAATTTGGTGTTCCAGTTACACGGCCAACCTCTGACTTTTGTTGATTCTTCTCTCTGGTCAATTATTTCTTTCATGTTTCTTTGTTGGGTTTGTTCCCTTTTCTTCAATCAAAAGGGTCTGCTTTGTCTCTTTCCCAGGGAAATAACTTCAATGGCAATGGCGGTACTAGGCAACAGAGTACCTGGAAAAGTGGTGTGCTGACACCAACACTCTGTAGATTGCAGCAAGGAAAAATAGATTTGCAGAGCTCAAGGACAATTATGGGGCACTAGAGCTTGCCCTGGAAATCAAGACGAGTTCGAATCAGAAAATGTTGCCAGCTGCATGTTCTATTTGCTCTATAGACTATATACTCAAGGATCCTTACAGAAATATTGATGATGGTTTGTTCAACTTGGATTCTCTCTTCTTTGGATGCCTCTTTTTTTTTTTGTATAAGATGATCTCATTATAATAATTGGATAGTGAATGAGATACAAAAGCAACAACACAAGGCAAAACATACCTCTTTCTTTGCTTTGTTAAAGTTCTTAGTCTTGCTGTGACTCTCATTGATGCATTCCTTACTGTCCATTCGTTTGTGGGGAAGAAACTCTAGCGGATTGGAGTTTATGTTATGTTGAACCGAACTGTAACCTTAAGTAGTAGATATATGTTATGTTTCATTTCTCACCTCACCATTTTTCAGTGAATTTAAATACTACATAATGAATGCAGGTTCTTTCCTCAGAATTCCGTTCCGGGTTCTTCCATCAGAAGTCCTTCAATACATCCCTCTTTACTACTTTTTTCTTTGAGGTAATAGTTGTTTCTGTAACCCTATTATAATGCCTTTGACAAGTCCTTCAATACATCCCTCTTTACTACTTTTTTCTTTGAGGTAATAGTTGTTTCTGTAACCCTATTATAATGCCTTTGACAGCCCACAGAACATCAATGCCTCCAACATTTAGAATTTGTGTGATATAATGATCCATGTATTTGTGGTGGCTTCACAGGTTCCCATAGATACTTTTTCAGTAGTATGTTGCTCCCCAAGACCCCAACTGAAGTGGTTTCATACAAATAATCTGGTGCAATGCACTTTTATTTATGTACAAACACAACAATGTGTTATCCTAAAGAACTCAGAAAGTTTCCTGTATGTGCTAACCACTTTACATTTGTGGTATGTTCCTTTTATGTTCTCCACTCACTATTTAGATTGAACTGAGTTTTCTCTAGAAAAGCAGTGCTAATGTTTGTGTACACTAGACCTTTTTATTAAACATGATGGACTGTGTTTCATTTTTTCTCGAGGGTTACTCTGCTACGATTGTTGGTTTTAGACTGGTGATTTTTGGCTGAGAATATCGGAGTAGGAATTTGCTTAATGACATACATACACTTGATTTGAAACTCTGATTTGAGAATCAATGGAAACAATGTAAGCAATTTTTATTCTCTTAAAAATTTTGGTTGTCCTAAATTATGAATTAAACTCTTATGCTCTGCCTTCACATGAAGTTTTGGTTTTTAACAGTTCCTTTGAACTCCTCTTAGTTTTGGGACTGATTTTGCCTTTTTTGTAACAATTTATGGTTAGTTACTCTAGCTTTTATGCTTTCTTACAGAATTTTTGTTGTAATGCTTTTTTCTTCTTCATGGAATTAATGCTAAGCTGTAATTGTACAAAGGGGTTAGTTACCCTATAGCTTGCTGAACTGTTTCATTTGCTATAATTGTTGTTGGGGATTTAGGGTGTCATTTGTTGTAATTGATCTTCTCCATTTGCTAAGTTGTGATTTAACAATAAGGGGTTAATTACCATGTACCTAAACGTTTGGTTCATACTGGACATATGCAGGTCACTCTTGAAGTCCCCCTTTATTCTTCAATAAGGGGCTGGTAGGATAGACCAGGCTCTTATTATTATGGTTATAATGATTCCTTAATGCAGTTTTGAGGGATTTTTCCAGAAATAGCACTGTTTAAAAAAATTTTCAAAAATAGCACCTAAGTCCGAAAAATTCCAAAAATAGCACCCTTTCCCAAAATCGCTCCCTACCAGTGCGGTTTAGGCGAAAACCGCCACCCAGGGGCGCGTTTTTCGATGAAAACCACACCCCTAGGGGGCGGTTTTGCAGATCGCACACCCACCATGCGGTTTGGTTGCAGATCGCACCCCCACCATGCGATCTGTTTTTTTTTTTTTTTTTTTTTTTGAAAAATCCTAACCTAGGTGGAAACTTCAAACGGACGTATCTTTGTGTTCGGGTATCCGATTGTCGCGATTTTTTTTTGATTCAGCATAACTTTTTGAGATCTTGCAAGCCGAAGACTGCTGAATGTGGTTTGGTCTCGCCTTTGTCCCAAAAAATGTCGTTTGCTATCCCGAACGAGCTTTTTTCCGATTTCGTCAAACTTTGGACAACCAACACTTTGTGTTCCAAAATCCAAACGACATGAATTTTTTTTTATTTCGCATAACTTTTTAAGGTCTTTCAGAATGAATTTTGAAAACAGGAATTATTTTGGATATACAGGATTTTGGGAATAGCTTACCTTCCCTTCTCAGCAATCCACGTACATTTTGAAATTATGTCTATGATAAAAGTTGTATTCCTTAAAAATTTATGCGAAATAAAAAAAATTCATGTCGTTTGGATTTTGGAGCACAAAGTTATGGTTGTCCAAAGTTTGACGAAATCGGAAATAAGCTCGTGCGGGGTAGCAAACGACATTTTTTGGGACGAAGGCGGGACCAAACCACATTCGGCAGTCTTCGGCTTGCAAGATCTCAAAAAGTTATGCAGAATAAAAAAAAAATCGCGACGATCGGATACCCGAACACAAAGATATGTCCGTTTGAAGTTTCCACCTAGGTTAGGATTTTTCAAAAAAAAAAAAAAAAAACAGATTGCATGGTGGGGGTGCGATCTGCAACCAGATCGCATGGTGGGGTGTGATCTGCAACCAAAACGCATGGTGGGGGTGCAATCTGCAAAACCTCCCCTAGGGGTGCGGTTTTCATAAAAAAACGCGCCCGTGTGGCGGTTTTCGCCTAAACCGCACTGGTAGGGAGCGGTTTTTGGGAAAGGGTGCTATTTTTGGAATTTTTCGGACTTAGGTGCTATTTTTGGAATTTTTTTTTAAACCGTGCTATTTCTAGAAAAATCCCCAGTTTTGATTAATGTGATTCAAGTTTCATAAAAAAAAAGATTCAGGTTTTTGTCGAGTTGTTGTAATCATTGATTTTCCTTTGTTTACCTTGAATCTAATTTGATTGGATTATATGTTTTTCATTGAACTTTCAGATATTTCCAGTTATTGAACTCTATTAAGTTACTGAAGCGAGTGGAAGTTATATGTTTCTGTTGCCCGTGTTTTGTAGAAGGTTGTTCAATTACAAATTGCTTGGTTCCTTAAACTGGATAACACTAATTCATTTGACAATGGAAAATTATGTGCATTTATAAAAATTTGGACCATTACTATAACTACCAGCTAATCTTTCTATTTTAGTACAAGGAAAATTGGAACATATAGTTTTACTTGAGTTACGAGCTTTTTAGGAGTGGACACCGTTGATGTTAGTTTCAATGGTCATTTAAAAGAATTTCATAAATTCCTAACCCGTGGTTGTATTGGTGATAAAAAGAGTGATGGAGGTTTGTCGGAACTATATGCGTTGTATGGGTGCCAAATTTTAGCCATAGCCCAATGAGAGAAAATCTTCTTTTGGTGGAGCTAAAATCATCAATCTAGCTCCAAATTTGGCATTTTAGCTCTTAGTATTAGAGAAGGTAAAAGAAGTTCAAGTCAAATTATATTTTTCATTGAAACTCCTCGAATTCAAGGTATGCAATGGTCAATGGCCAAACTCACTTCCTGAAACGAGACAATTTCAATTTATGAGAAGATAAAAATGAGATCATTCATTAGAATTAATTACGATTACAATCAATTCCATTAGCTCAAGGCGAGGAACTCACTTCCTATTCAGTAGAAGCTTTTGCTGGAATTAATAAACATTGTTTGGTTAATCTGTCTAATTCTTTTTTATGCTTGATAGAAATGAATTGAAAAGAAGGCAACTATGATATCATTTTGTGATGTCCTTAATTCACTTATAAGTTGTTTGCGTTTCTGTAATTGAAAGCGTTAAGCTAAACTAAAATGAAACTCGATTAGGCCAATTTAGCTTAATGATTGAATCTACGGGTTATCCCAATAATTCAATATTCGGCTCAGCTCCTCCGACCAACGGGTCGTGTTATAAAGTAAAGCTAGTACTTATAATACATTTTAAAGAGTTTGATTTGCTCCATTTCAAATTTCCTGCAACGAGAGTGAAAGTAGGAAGGGTATTTTTGTCTACACAATCAATTTTTCATTTCATATAAAAAGAAATCAATGCTAGGATCTGAACCATGGTCTCTTCCACCAATGACAAGAATTGTAACCAATTAGACTAGACACATTTGTTGTACTTTATTAATACAAAAACATAGAGTAAGTTAAAATTATGAAAAACAAAGTACTTTTCTATCACGGTTAGTTAGCCCGCTAAGTCTCCTGTAAGTATTTTGTGGTGTTTTGATACTTCTATTTTCATATTTTAATAATTAATTTATAATTTTTTCTAACTTATAAATGAAGGATGATCTTAAAATCTCAACACAAATATCATTGGTTTGAATATTGCGCATTGAATTGAAATGTTGAATGAAGTGTTCAATGACGACATAAGAACACTGATACCATACATTTCAAGAAAAATAAACATGACAAACACCGATACCAATTATCTCGGCAGTCTATGTTAAAATTCGAAATTGTTTAATCATTCAATTTGAATGATAGTTTAGTCAAATCAAGCAAATAATTCACGAATGTGTATGAACAAAAATAAATATATATGTATTGTATTGTGGAAAATGTATTTATTTTAACAATCTAAAAAAAAATTCAAAACTTCCATACGACCCCTTATTTCAATAATGTAGTTAATGAAATTGTTGGGGGTATTATCCATCAGCTAGTGGTCTGGGCCTCCAGGCAACAGAATTGGGGGGCAAGGCCCATGAATGGGTTGGTGAAGCATCTCTAGGCCCAAGCAAGAGGAGGGGCGCATGAGGACAAAACACTAAAAGCCAAGGGAGGCCAGGCTGTCAAGTGGTCCATCGCCGACAGGCGCCTGCCAACGCGTCAGAAGCCTGACAAGGCGGTTGAGATGTCTGACAAGGAGGGTACAAGGCATTAAATGGGGACAAGCAAAGAGATGGAGAGGCGCTGAGGGAGTTTTATGAGAGGTGGCTGTCCGTGGCCTTGGCGGTGAAAGACGCGCAGCCGTCGGTATTGGGAGTATGCCTGAACGAATGTACCACCAGCGAGGAGCTGTGTAGGTCGCTGGCAAAAAGAGACGTTGTGTGCACTGAAGATTTGGATCGCAGAGTGCAAAAGGTAATCATGCTCGAAGAGACTTTGGCAGCCAGGAGGGCAGACAGGCGGAAGACAAGAGGGGAAGAGGTTGAGATAACGAGGAGGCCGCACCCTCCGAGTGGTTCAGGGTATGCGCCCGTGAATCCCCCCCCCCCCCCCCCCCCCCCACCGAGAAGAATGGACACCGGACGCCCGGCGCCCAGGGGAGAGGGAGCCTTTGCTGAGTATAACGACACGCTGAAAAACATACTCCAACATGTCAAGGAGAAAGGGTATCACATCAGGTGGCCGGGCCCCATGAGGGGACAGCCCAATGAACGGAATCTGGATCGATATTGTGACTTCCACCGAGAGGTGGGACACCATACAACTGACTGTTATCAATTGAAAACCGAGCTGCAAGGCCTGGCCGACAGAGGGATGCTCAACGACTTCGTCAAGAAGCCTGAAGAGAGAGTGCACCGGGCGTGCGTGGCTGGCATGGAAAAAGCGAGGGAAGAGCTACCACCCCTGCCCTATGACCTCGACCAAGAAAATGCGCCCGAACGGGTACGCTTGACCATCGAGGCTATTTTGGGAATGATGGACCTGAGGGAAAAAATAGAGGCAAACCGCCGGCTGAGAGCGGCATCGGCAAACGTGCAGGAGGCGATCGATATCAGCTTCAATAGGGCGCCAGAGGAAGCGTGCATGCTCCCGTCCATGGACGCCCTAGAAATACAAAGAGTGGTGGCGGGGTGCCAGGTGAGAAGGATGCTCGTCGACACGGGAAGTTCGATGGACGTGTTGTTCAAGGATACAGTGGTTCGCATGCAATTATGGCCGGAGCTTATCA